CATTTAACATATAACTTGTAAAATTCAAAGTTTAAAGCCTAGGAAAACAACCGCGATTAGAGCCATTCAACAAAATCATATCTCCCTTCACATATTGTCTTTTTATTCTTATAATTTTCAATAAACCACCTCTTAAATATTAGTACTGTTGGGTATCATGGGTTTAGGTGAACAAATAAATTAAGCAGAATAGGCCTGAATCATACCAATGCCACAGGCAACTGCTGTGGGTTTTGCCACCCAACGTGTCGGTAAGGGATTAGGATATTTGCTGTCAATTCATACTCTGGTGCCCTAAGCTTTGAAGAATGCAGTAGGTCCTAGCAATTTTTGTTGGCTCAGGTCCCTCATACATGGGCCATGTGTGACCAAGAGTAGCTTCTCATGAAGAACACAGCAGAAATTTGAGCATGCTCTGCCAAAAGCCCCTGGGAAGCAGGATTTGTTGGCACATTCCTACCTTCAAGCAGGCAGTGGGAGTGCATCTTGGAGTTATTCAGCTCCAGGCAAAAATGGCAAAAGTCTCTTCTAAGATGGACTGTGAAAACAAAATTACAGAGGGTACGACTGGTAAGTACAAAAGGGGAAGACAGAGAAACACATACCAAAGAATATGCACAGACAGAATGGGAACATCTTTCTGTTACCAGCAGCATTTACACATATAGGATATACACATATAGGATTCTGTTTCTCCTCCTGGCATTCAGCCCTGGGTGGTGAAAGAGCTGATGCTCTAGGCTGCAGTTGTCTGTCTTTTTTCCAGCTGGTCAGAGGGACCTCTGTAAGCACCACTCAGCTCTGGCAACAAAGACGTGCAAGTCCAGTTCATACCTGAACAGTGATGCTTGAGGTGACCTTTACCTGCTGAAAATCCTACTACCCTCTCATCTACTCCTTGTCGTCTCCTAGATCACAGCAGAAAAGGACAAGGGCAAAACACAGCTAGCCTGGTCATGAACTACCACTTGGGGTCCATCATGTTGACCCTATGTCCTGGAGCTGAAGTGAGAATATTTGACAAAAGGAAAAGAAAACACATATCTAAGAGGAAAAAAAACTAGCATAACCCACACAAAACAGCTAAAGTAAAAGATGTGACAACAAACAAGCTCTGCAGTCAAGGAAAGGGTAAAATCTTGGCTCTGCTGAAGTCAGTGGGATGTTTGCCAGAAAGCTGTAGACAGCATGTTTTATCCCGGACTTTTAATTAGTTATTAAATGATTCAATGGCAAGTTGGCTGGTTCAAGGGACAAAAAAATCATAGAATAGCTCCAGCATGCCTCTCCCTGCCCTGCCTACCCCTTGGGAGGTACAGATCATACACAGCTTTTTTTATAGGAGACTTGGCAGGTATTTCATTGAACCTTAGTTGAAATTGGTAGTTTCCCAGGCCCTGCCTCCTTCCCAAGTTTGGAGATGAAGATAGGAAACACCTGCTAATGACACCAGAGACCCAGCAAACAGCAAAAGTCACATGTCAGCAGAAGGCACACTGGAAGCCTGGCCTCTCCAATCCAGACACAACCTATCTGATGGGGGGGAGTGTATATGAAGAAATAGAACAGTACATTTATTTAATTGACATGCACTTGAATGGATTGGAACTATTCTGGAGTGACATACCCACAAACAAATAAGGCAGCTCACTGCCTTCAGGCTTAAGTCACTTTACTAACAGCCCAACCACCCAAATGATCTATTCACACCGCACATTTCTCTTGTTCCACCTCATTTTTCTGTTTCTCTCGGTCTCCCGCTTTTCCCCTCTCCAAAGAACGTCGGTTTCCACGGAAACAAAACACGTCATCGGAATGGACAGAACTTGGTGACATCCCCAAGCGCAGACAGAAAACGCAATTTAGGTGAGCACTTTGCAATTTGCAGCGGGAGCTGGGGAAGGCGACGGGCGATGATCCCGCGCACGTGTGTGTGCACGTGCTCGCGGGGGCGGCCGCCCGTGTGCGCTCCATCCCACCACACGATTGACACACATGCAGTGCCACCCGCTTCCCGGGACAGCACAGGGCTCGGCAGAACCCCTTTCCATCCTATTCCGTTTTAATATAGCTGAAAATTGCTTTGACAGCTGAATAGCTTCTTTGTTTATAACTCGTTCTCAGCTGACTCCGCTGCATTATGTAGCTTTGTGAAGAGATTACTTTGTCAAGAACTGAACATATATGGTCTGAGCATGAACAATTCGGCGAGATGAACTGCATTCATTTTATGTCACGTGCAGTCTGCAATCCTGCTGCCTTTAATGCATCTGCTTTATTCCGTGGGCTTCATTTTCTGATCTCAAGTGATTTATAAATTTTCTTGGAGTCTTTGGGATTACCTTCTTTACCCCCTCCCCGGACAGATGCAGAGAATTTTCGATATGTCTAATCTGAGAACATTGTGTCTTGCATTAAATGTTGTAGCAAACCAAGTTTTTGGCTGTGTATAACAGGAGATTATCATTATCTAGTTAGCTAATTATCCACCTGCAAATATCTTATTCCTGCCCTAAATTGCTACAGTTCTATTAGTATTTGAATTAGTATTTCAACACACTGGAGTCCCAGCAAAAATGTAGAAACTGGACCCCACTATAGGGAACAACGTATGGAACATATGCAGCTTCTTACCTTGCCCCTTCATCCCCAGCCCTACCAGCCATGCTAAGTAGACAGATCTCCATCCACATGACTTCAGCTGCACTTAAGCCAGTCCCTTGTCTTTACAGAGCCTTATCTAAAATATTGAAGCAAAACCAGCCTGCACAGCACTGCTGGCACTATCAGGGTTTTTCACTGTGCACTGAATGAGCCTTGCAGGCTCTGAGGCCATTGCCTGATGGTGTTTGAGTTGACTGCACTGGTCATCTCTGATCATCATTGCAGTTTTTACTTCTAGCCATGGCTTTTTCAGAAGTTACATTATTACAGATTCACTTTGTGCCCTACCTGGAGGCACAAACACGGACTCAGGGCATTTTTCTCTGGCTTCTCATGTCTTATTCCTCTCTCCCTCCCTCAACTTTTTAAATAAACTGCATTAATTCTGATGGGTAGAAGATATGGTCCAATATAAAGATGACTAAGAACATTAATTGTCTTAACAGCAAAATTCCTATCGGCTTTATAGTAGACATTACATTGATCTCTTGTGGGTTGGAAAATGAATGCTTTACTTATAGACATCACTGGAGGCTTTTCTTGTGTGGGACACAGCACTGGGCCTCGAAGAATCTTACATTTCAACAGGTTTTGCTCAGCCCATGAACTGGCAGAACTCCAATTTACACTACACCCTGCATTTTGCACTCAGCAGTATTTTACCACTTCTGAACATACCAACCTTCCCTATAAACAGAGGGGAAGTTTGTCAGACAGACAAATCCCTCCTTATCTCTTAGTCATAACCCTGATCCACTTCAAATGATTTAAAGAGCTTCACACATATTAACCTTTAAAATAAAAAAGACAAGAAAACGACTTCTTTGCAAATCACTGTTTGAAAACAGAAGCTGCAGAAAGATTCCTCACAACCTTATTTGCTCCCACTCATACTCCTAATGTACACATATTTTACAAGAGCTGGCACACTATGTGCTAGTTTGTTGAATATGTATACATATATACATATATTTATATATATTTTAAACTCATCATCTCTAGGGAAGTTCTTTGCACTAGATACTGGTGTCTTGGTTAATGAATTCCTTATCTTTCACCCCCTTGGAAAATGAAGGACTGCTATCACTGACAAAAAAAATACCACTGACTATGTAATAGTCAGGTAAATGATGAAAGGCCTCACAGGCAGTTTAGAAACAACTATTCTTGTTGTACTGGGAATTTTCAGATTTAGTAAGAAGTCATGAGGTCTTCAGTAAATTTCCACAGTCAGTTTCTGTTCTTCGCCCCCCCTTGTGGCAAACCTGGCTGAGCTACCAAACATGTCTCAATCAGTCTGCAACCTGCTCCGCCGCAGGAGCCCTCGGAAAATCCCAGCCCAGCAGACACCAGCTGTACCGGGCTATGGCTGGTGCCAAAAAAGGCAGCAGGGATTTGCACAGTCACTGGTTGTGTGTGTTGGTTGGAGAGGTGTCATGAGAAAGGGGGGAGGTTTGCCTGACCCTCAGAGAGGGGAGCAGCAGCTGCATTTTACCCTGTAATTCTTAGTCTCCTCTAATTTTTAACCCTATCTGTCATTCCACGGGAGGGTTGAAGTCAACTGGCTAAAATACACCAGAAGCTTTGAGCAAAAGGATAGCGTAGGAGAGAAGAGAGTCATGGTTTGCAGAGGAGAAGTTAAAAATTTCCAAGTCAAAGAGCCTTGCTACAGACAGAAAATGAGAAGTAGACGGGGAGGAAGGCACGTCATCAACTTGCAGCATGATCTTTTTGGAATAAATAATACAGCTTTGTATGTGCTGAGTGTGCCTTGCACTTCCCTTCAAGGAGACTGCTAATATCCTAGATAGTGGATTTCTACGTTCATATGTATCTTTTCATTTCAGTGCTGGTGGCACCTAGAAATCTGAATTTAAAGTTTCCAAAACCAACTAAAATCCTTGCCTCTGACACTAGTCTTAGCTGTTCCCTGCCAGTGTACGAACATGACTGTCCTTCCATAAGGTCAGAGTTAATAACAAGCTAAATATGTCCCACCTAGAGGAGCATCCATAGGTCATAGTGTCAGTCTACAATCACATAAGAAAACATGAAAGCTTATTAAAGGCTACTTTTTCCAAAAAGGACCTTAAATTCTGGGCCCTGACAATGCACCAGTGCATAACTCCTTTTTTACTAAAGACCTGTAACTCAGATTAGGTGCCTCAATTTGGAGAAACTCAAATGTTTTGAGCTCAGTCTCATGCAAAAAACGACAAACTTCAGAAGAATGTTCTGCAATTTAAGAAGTTAAGTAACAATACAGCAGAATCAGGCAAATCCAACCATCAGTGAAATGAAGAATATACTCCATTAGGTGTATGACCTTTCTGTGTTTTCTCTTTAGGACAGTGCCAGGGAATACATGGGACAGTGGACTCCAGGCTCATGCCACTTCTGACTCCCCACTGGCCCACCAAGGCTCAGATGGTTGACTTGCATCAAGCTCCTCACAGACATGGGAATACATTTACCCAGAAAGTAGGTCTTGTACACTCTGGTTTCTGGTATTGTAACTAAAAACACAAGGGCTGATGCTATTAGCAGATGGATACTTTTCCCGTTCAGAGTGCTTTCAGCCCTTCATACTTACTGGAAAAGTGGGCACGATGGGAGCAGAACCACAGGTCCAGCTCTCAGTGCCCATTAGAGGTAAAGGTGCTGGGCATGAGCCTATGATTAGGATTAGCAATTTGGACCTCTACGGATCAAAGCATTTAGGATTGTATCTAAGAGCTCAATAACTGAAGTCCAAGGCTATTGCAAATGGATCTTTACTGTCAATGACAAAGTTTTCATAAGGACTGGCAAGCTTCTTCTGGACCTCATCAAAATAATTTCTAAAAAAACTTTGAAAATCCTAAAGCAGAAAGAATCACCACAAAGAAGCTCCAATGTGGTTTTCTTTAATGACAAAGGATAGGGGGTAGATGCAAGAATCTCCTCATTCTCTTCTCTCAGAGACAGGCAGAGGGATTTTGCACAGCTGGCTCAGCCCTGCACAGGGTGTTTCAGTTCTCCCTCAGCAGGGCATAAATCCACCTGAAAAAGTAGTGATGGGGAAGGAATTGCCCAGCAGCTACCCTAGCCTGAATGCTATGAGGCTCTTCCAGACCTTCTCTGTAAACAGGAATTGCCTTTGGACCCTTAAAAAACACGCACTATATCACTCCGGAATGGTGTTAATCTCTCGGTCGTGGAGGTCAAAGCAAGATTTCTATTATAAGCTCTGTGAAACACATCTCCTTGCCAGCCACTCAACTGCAGGGAACAAAATCCAGTCAGCCAAAATGGTCCATGTGTAACAGGACACCAGAGCAGGCATTTGAGGCAACGCAGGCGAGGCATTTTGGAGCTGTGAGACCTCCGAGCTGTTGCCGAGCCCTCAGTGAGGCAATACTGGCTCAGTGCCACAGGCAAGGAAGCAGAAAAGATAGTTTTCTCTGCTTCCTTGCAGAGGACAATGGTCTATTCACAGGCAACACCAGCTGGAGAGGCCACTGCTGCACCTCCCACCCAAGGTCGGGCAGGGCCTTCCAGCATCAACCATGTTCCTTGCCTGCCCTTGCTATGCTTCCATCTTCTGTAGCACTTCTGCATAAGGCCTGTTTCATTCATCTCGATAGCACTTACAACAGCTGGAGCCCAGGAGAGGTTGGACCTTGTGGTTACAAATGACAGTGCCCCAACTTGGTGTCACGTTGGCTGAGCAATGACTAACATGTGCCAAAGCAAGAACACTGACACCCAGGGGTAACCTTATCCAACAAGCTGGAGGTTAGCTGAGGACCCTCCACTTCTTTAACACATTTTATTTGTATTTTCCTCAGGGTCCACAGTGCACATTGGCTTTGCTGATAAACTTATCAGCAGCAGAGTGAAACATCCGTTTCATTTGTACTGTTTATGCAGAGGCTTTTTTTCTGGTTGGTAAGTCAGGATTGACTGAACAGCATGACCCTGCATTTTCTTCCATCCCCCATGAAAGCTGCTCCTTGCAGCATGTGCTACGCGTCAGAAGACGGGGAGAGACTGCGTCAAGGATCAGCCCTCCCCTGCCCCAGTGCTGAAGGTCTTCACCTTTCCACTGGAGGTGGTCTATCCCTACACATCATTCCCAGCCCCAACCCAACCTCCAGAGATGAGGAAAGGCTGTGGCACTGTATGTGGATGCCGATTACATCTTCAAACAGGAGGAGCACACAATCGGTGGGATCCGCCTGCTTTCCAGCCCCTTTGTGCTCAGGGGCAGAAATACAAATAAGCCTCAATGTCTTTTTCCTGCTTATGTGAACCAAGATCCGTTTTTCAATAGCAGGCCCTGGCAGATAAGTATTCCCTATTCTCAGTATTTATTTTTGGGAGGGAAAGCTTTTCACTGACTCCCATAACACTCCCCTCCAGCACTTGGGAGGTGCAATGGGATGGCAGGTAGAGCTGTGATTCAGGGATGCTCCTACACCCGCTGGAAGCTGGTGTTGCCATGCCAACCTGCAGCCTGTGCACAGGCAGCCCAGGGCACTGCAGGCTGCTACGGGGTCTATGTTTTTGCAGATAGATTAGTCCCAGGACCCTGCAGTGGAGGAATTGGTTGAAGCTTCAACTGCAGAATGGATGATGCTGTCCCAGTGCATTCTCAGCTCAGCTGCTCACCTCCTCCCTTAGCCTTGTCTCAGAGAAAATAGGACCATAAACTTTACTAGGGAGTTTTCCCCCTAAATGAATTACATCACACAACCATTACTAACAGTTTGTGTTTTTTTCAGAAGGACCACAGAGAGACAAGTGGGTAGGAATGGCAACAATCCTCCCAACAAGCTCAGGCACCCCTGGCAGCAGCCACACCCGCCCTTCACCCACTCAGCATGTCACGTCATGTGCTGCATGAGACAGCACCCAGAGCTCATCTGAAGCACACACAGGACATGACCAATTACCTTTCCTCTGCTTAGACTCACCAAGAGGGACATTTTGAAACTGTTCTTTCCGAAAAGCACTAAGTGACAAAGCCAGCTCTGTGCAAAGCCAGCAGAGGTGGAGGGCACTGCTGACAGCTCATAGGATAAAGCTCATGTTTGGATTTTACTGCCTTATTGGAGAACTCCCTGGGTAATTTTCTGGGTATTTTCTAGGTTACTTCCTTATTGCTCTCTGGGTAAACTAGGTCAAAACACTTGCCTTGCCTAAACCTCAGTTTGTCAATATATAAAATAAAGGCGATGGGACAAGTTGTTCCCTGCTTTTTCTGCATGGACTTCTACCTTATGAAAAGTCCGTACAATACCCCTCTCCTTCATTAGAGCCAGAAAACCTCTGAAATCCCCAAATTCAGACAAGCCATGAACTGTTGCATATTGCTATAAGCAGTTAAAGAGGAGCATGTGTGAAATATGGACAACTAGATGGATTAAGAAAGATGTGCTCAGAGTTGGGCAGCTTTTTGTCCCTAAGAGGAAAAGAAAAAAAAAGTACATAATCTGTAATTGTTTTTCCTTGATCAGCCTTCCTGCTACAGTAGGAATACCCTTACAAATCACAATATCTGAAGTCCGAAGAAGCATTATAGGAACAAAGAGACTCTACCACCCACTGTGCTGAATCCCAGAGCTGGCTGCTCCTTCCTGAGATACTGCAGTACTTCCCAGCCTTGTTGGCTGCCACTCTGCACACACTGTTCATTTACCTGCACTGATCTTCTCAATCAAAAGCTGAGCATTTAAAACCACTGTAACCTCTGGGGGTCCTGCAGCATCTATAGTGGGATCTGATAAAGTGAAAGCTGCTATGGGCAGACAATACAGGCACAGAGGTGGTCAAGTGTCTTTGAGTCTGAATTAATAAATGTGGCTGTTAGTTTGCTGTAACAAAAAGGGTTAGTCTACAGCACCACAGATAAGAAACAAGTTTTTTTGAAGAAGGTAGGCATTTTTTTGAATAGGATGTCTGCCAGCAACCATGTTTTACTGCATTGTTACCATGCAGGGTAACATATACTGACTAACAGCACTTAAGACATGAGACTTCTACAGAGAGCCTCTGTATTTCAGTGTCTGCATTAAATATGACAATAAACCTGGACAAATTTCAGTGTATGTTACATTGCATCAGCACTCTCGTACTATCTATAGTTTCTATCTTTTCTCATAGGATAAAATCCAGCAATCTGGATAGATTTTTTACATGATAAAATCCAGCAATCTGGATAGATTTTTTACATGAATGATTCCTTACTCTTTTAGTGCTTCAGAATTTGGGGGTAATTTTGGCATCATGTCTTTAAAAATGTATCCAGTCTTTTCAGGAGCAAAGATAACCAAATTAAGAACTGTAACTTAGCAAGACCACTACAAGGAGAAGGAGGAGGAAAGCTGTTGTCAGAACAGTATTGCCATGACTGTTGTTTCCTACGGCATCCTTTGGCTGCCTTCCACTCCCTAAGTGCCCCTTGCCTGGCTCCTCCCCCCCACACTTCCACCTGTGAGCCATTTATCTTATGTTTCATGGCCCTGCGTGAGCTCTCTCCACTTTACAATATCTTCACAAGTCATTACTATGGACTATATAGCCGGGCTTGGTGCACAGGTTCAATAGTGCAAGTCCTTTGAACTGCATTCCTCAAGTCCACTTTTCATCCCGTTATCAGACTGACACTGAATAAAGGCCAGGTGGAAAGTCCCGGTAGGACATGCACTCCTGTGGCTGTCATTCACATAACGGCTATGATAGAAAAGGGTTGGCAAGAGACCTCACCATGCACTGAACTATGTGAATTATGTGTGTTCAGTCTAATTGGAATGATTTCTGATATCTCAGGGTCAAAGTCTCACTTTTCATAGAGGACTTATTTATCAATGACACCTCACTAGCCAGAATCAGAACTAGTTCTGCTTAATCAGTTACTATGGACAGAAATACATTCAGTCAGTGACTCTCAGACATGATCTGGCTCCAGGTCTTGAAATGAGAACCATTTGCCACACTGCCCAACAATAGCAATTACAAAGCTGAGGCTGGGGGTTCGAGACAAGAAAGCTACTTGAAGATGTCCCTCACTGTCTGTTGGGAAAAAAAACCCCCAAACCCACTACACACCAACAAAAGAAATATCTAATTTTTGACAGTTTTAAAGTTTCTCTGCTTGATTTCTTGCTACAGTAGAATAAAAGAAAGTGCCATAGTAATGGCCTTCAGCCACACCAGGTCCTTTAACATGTGTCTTGTGCTGCTCTGCACAGAACCTATAGTTATGTGCATCCTGGAGCATCCCTGCACATACAGTCCCCAGAGGGGCTTTGCAAACTGCTCATATAACTGTTGCATTAAATTACATTTAGCTTGAGTGATCAGTAGCTCATCAGTTGAGTTCTGGCTCTGATTTCTAATAACTAGAAGCATCTGACATAACGAAAGCCCTTAGAGAAGGCACAGGGAGAGAAATAACTGTGCTAATTAAGCTATGCAAAGTGCCTTGGAGAAGAGTGCTCCACTTCAAGGATACCCTGACATTTCTGACCCATTACAAGTATCAGCATAAAAATTTCAAGAATTTAATGTGGAGTGTTTAATTGAGACACAGATGAAAAGAAATCATTAGAATTTAAAACTGATTTTTTCCTTACAGCTCAATAAACATCCTTAGCCACTAATGTGGTTAACTTTGATTGTACAGGGGTAGATCATCCTCATAAACATGATAGAAAACCACACTGGCCTAGCACATTTATGATGAATTCTTTGCTTGCAGTGCAAATGGAAATGCAATAGTCCTATTGCTGTATCCTGCTTAGCACTTAAATACCATTTTTCTAATTTATTTCCATCATTTGAACCTAAGGACACAGAGGAATGTTTTGAATTTTACATAAGATACGTATTTTCTTCTGAGAGCGAACCTGTAGAAATGCAGCCCAATTAATAATGCACTTAGCATCTTTCACCTCCAAACCCTGTAATTTTTAAAGTATCCTCACAGGAAACATTTTGGTGTATCTGTTTTAAAGCTGTCTAAACTAAGGCTTGAAAAAAAGATAGTTACCAAGGTCAAAGTGCATGTCAGGTACAGAGTTGGGGAGAGAAATCCCGATCCAGAGTCCTAGTTGTCTCCTCTACCAGTTCACTGGTATTCCTTTCCTTGTCTGCGTTTAGGAACAGATTATCTGGATGTCCCACTCAAATAAAAGGTGTTGAATGGAAGACAACTCTTTTTCCTAAGATGGTTTGGAGCCATGTTCTAGGACAACAGCTTGTTACTAGTACTAACTGAGGGAGTTGCAGTGGAAGTGACTGATGAACCTGAGAAGAATCCAAATATAGACAACCTGCAGTTCCAGCTTTTTCCCTCTGACCTCCTAACCAGAGTAATATCCTGCAGAGAGAAGTCTAGATCCCATTGAATGGGAGAAAGTTGACTGGGAAAGGCAGCTGCATTCCTTCCATGGCAGAGCCAAGGAAGAAAACTATCTAACTCTTCTGTTACAAAGTTTCCACTGGACCAAAAACAAAACAAGCGTTGTTTGGTCACATATGAGACTGGCTTTTTAAATACTCATCTGGGCCTCCTATTCTCTCTCCAGTTCTGAGTGCTGTGCCCTCGTGCCTTCACTCCCCTCCTGTGTCCACACAGCTGGGCTTGGAGAATCTGTGCTCTGAGTCGTGCTGCTCTGCATTTCCTAAAGGGCTCACATGCCTGTCTAAGCTGCCTTATAGGGTGATAAACTGAAAGAGAGTAGATTTAGATCAGGTATTAGGAAGAAATTCTTTACTGTGAAGGTGGTGAGGCCCTGGCACAGGTTGCCCAGAGAAGCTGTGGCTGCCCTATCCCTGGAAGTGTTCAAGGCCAGGTTGGATGGGGCTTAAAGCAACCTGGTCTAGTGGAAGATATTCCTGCCCATGGCAGGAGCGTGGAACTGGATGATCTTTAAGGTTCCTTCCAATCCAGGGATTGGATCCTATGATTCTATTATGCTATTTACAGTTTTAATACAACAAGGAACAAGAAAGATTATATTTCTGTTGCTTTACTTACATAAGGAGCAATGTAACTGGCTCTCCCTGTCTCAGTTTTGTGCTATTAATTAAGTCCATGTGAGGAATACACAAATTTACACCACGTGTGAAACCTGTACACGTTAACTAGTCTCAAGCTAGAATAGTTTCCATGCTGTGTGTCTCCATATAGCCCATCTTTCTGGCACATGTGACCCAGAAATGTGTCATCAGGACACATGTAGTCACTGGACCGATGAAAGGAATTCAAGGGAAACAAGCAAAAATTCTGCTTCCAATTTCTGCTCAGCTTTTGTTGCTACTGCTCTCTGAAGAAGTTAGCAACACATGAAAAAGATGTCGTCATCCCAACTTGGCCCTGGTTTTACCTTTCATACAGCAGGCTTTTATGTAAAGCCATACTTTCCCAGAGATTATTAAGAAAAAGGAACTAAAATCCACGGCTGTCAGTTTTTAAAAGCAAATAATCACTCCCACGCAATGGCTGAAAGGCAAACTTGTACCTAAAGACTTGCAACTGGCATCACTGACATTTTTCATTGTCCAATCAAAATGTTAAAAATAAAAATAAACAGAGCCCACAGAACAAAATACACTGGATTTTAACATTCTTTCACAATTCATAACCAAAGCTGCGGTCAGCAACATGGAGCGAGAGAGACGTTTGGTTATAAGTCATGACTTCAATCTGAGAGTCTCACTGGCATTTCCTGGAAAATTTCCAAATTAAATGGTTGTCCAAATTAGAGACATTCAGACTAAAGATGAAACACCACAAATAAGCTATTTTGTCTAGAATAAATAAAATCAAACCAATAAAATGCTCAAGAAGATAATTGTTACAACATTGTTGTCTTGGGCATCCTTGTCAGTGATTAATGCAGGGTGTTTTAAATGCCTAAAACAATTAAACTAGTGGACTAACTATTCTCTGTGAATGAACTGTCCTAATCTTTGCTCTCCAGCTCTCCCCACAGCCACATCCTTCTAATGCCTCGCTTCTTCCTTCCAGCCTCCAGCTGGTGACTCACTATTTAATCAGTGCAGCCATCAGGACATTCACCTACCAAATCAGAACAACCCTTGATTTCTCTGCCGTGACCTTCACTGTGCCTATTCCCAACTTTTGCTTATTATTTCCGCTCGTTGCACCAA